CCTGTTGTTGTGATAGGCAATATTTGAAATATACAGAACTGCAGTTGAACCCTTATCGGGATGATCCGGGTGGAACCGGAAAGCTCATTATGTAATAGTAATCACGGGGAAATGGCCGAGCGGTCTAAGGCGCTACGTTCAGGTCGTAGTCTGGAAACAGGCGTGGGTTCGAACCCCACTTTCCTCATTTTCCTATCATATTATATTCACCGTTTGAAATTTAATATATATGTTCATTTATTAAAACAGTCGCAAAAGCTCGTCCCCCGATCTAACTTCATGGTTCATTCTCGTTCAACTCACTCCACAGTTCCAGTCGTGGTAGTCTTCAGTGACGACGGCGTCCTTGTCGAAAACAATTGCCGGCTAGATCCCATCGAACGTCCAGTCTGGAGGAAATTTTTAGTGAGTAGACAGCCAGAAACCTGGAAGTGAAAGAGAAGATAGATCCACGAACCCGACCCTGCCCAACATTGATTGCAGTCTGTCTCGTGACTGAGGTCGCCGTATGGTGTGGAGCAACAGGCTCCGTTCGGAATTTCAATGGGGAAAAGATTTCGATTCCGCCCGGAACAGCAGCAAGACCCTGGTAATGTGACTTGATGGATGAGAACTTGGAAACAATTGAATGCAGGATGAGCTTGAAAACCGACCTCTCCCCCAAACAAGAATTTGTTTGCATGTTGTACAAAGATGGTGTTATAATATTTCACGACATCAATTTTTTCTTGCCCTTCTCCAGTATAGACGCCCAGCATAATCTAATAGTTGGTGTTGAAGTTTAACATTGGACGCAGCTGGCAGTTTGTGCACACATACCGCTTGTGACGCTTGAGGCTGCTTCAAATACGAAGCCAGCAAGTGATTGAACGATATAGGAAGCTTGGCCAGCTTCGCCGTCGCATAAACGGCGCTTATCATCACCACGTCCGTGTGCCGCTTGCAAAGAAGTCGATTGTGGACCTCCACGTTTAATAGCGCTTCAATCAGTTGACAGGCCTTAAGCGGAGAGATGTAAGCAAACTTCAATTTTATCGTACACCGACAGGTGCACACACCTTCGCAGAAACGTCGTCGCCCAGTTTGGCCTGATTACAGAGCTCCTGCACCCGCGATTGCATCATGCGCGTGATTTTGACGAGAACAGTCTACTCGTCCCATGAATGAATGAACGAGTGCGTCCAGCAGACATCTAAACACACCTGAAAGCCCTTGAACGGATCAAACGCCGAGTCTGAAGCAATATGCGACTGCCACTTGTTTGTAGGGTCCGTGAGCGCAGTGTACACTTGCATTGTGTCCGTAAAGTTCGAGCCTTGTGTTCGCAACGGTTATCGCATCTGTCTCAGACTTCTGAGCTTCAAGGGATGTGCACTCACTTCCAACGCGCAGATTCACGTAATCAGCCATCATTTCATACATCAAATCTTCTTTCCATAACTCAGATTCCAGAATCTTTTCCTGGATCTCCTTGAGCCGTTTTATCATTGCCAAAGATATCTATGTGAAGGGAAAGAAAAGTAAACCACAAGCAAGACGCTTTCGAAACATGTTACAATAATTGAACGCACCCAAGATTCAAACTTGATTAGCACATCAATCACAACGCAGACTTCAATATATCTGACGTTGATGAGCTGCATGATCCCTTCGTAAGAAATGGTGTTGGGTACCTGGGATTTGGGGACACTGTCAGCCACGTTCAACAGAGGAACGCGACAGGGACTCACATTGTGCGCAAAGCGCAGGAATTCAAACGAACAGAACAAAAGGGCTCGATGAAAATGTTCGTCATTCATCAGCTTGCGCTTGTGCTCGCAAGTGAGATCGAATTCACTTGGCGGTGTCGATTCCACAAAGCTAAGAGGTGGAATAGTCAAGGTTAAATGTAAGCAAATCAGGCCTATGATTCCTTACATGGCGTACAAAGGTACTATGAGGTCCCAGACTCGTGCATGAGAACTTTCAATCGACTTTAAGCTATCTAAAAGGAGTGAAACGTCAATCCACGATGCGCGCGCATTGTCTGCGTGAATGCAAACCTGCGAAATTTCGCGCTTTCTCAAAACACTTGGCCCCGAGGGTCGGATTCATAACATGTTTCACAAACAGGGTCACGAGCATCCTCTCCGAACATCTCTGATCAGGCGCAAGATGCGCGACACGCTCGTTGATGCGTTCCTTGAAGCTTTTCTGTTCATCTTCCGGATTCGTGATAACACCGCGCATGGCCGAGCGTGCTGTGATGGGAGTCGCTTGCATTAAGCTCTAATGGTTTGAAAAAGTGAGTAAAAGAGTTGCAGGCAAGTGAATCCCACATTGAATGTGCTCGTTTTTTGGAAAATGGTCTTCAAGCTGCGAGCAATAGCTCTGGTGCCACTTTGTGTAGTCGGGTTAGGTGCTAACACCGAGCGCTTCCGCGCCGTGGCTGCGCACACAAACATGAGGGAACTTCATCAGCTCATCAACGAATGAAAGCTCACCCATCATTCGATATGCCGGCAAAAACAGTCGATAATCGAATTCAACGTGCTCTGAATCCAAAAATGTCTCATATCGTCCATTCAGCGTATCCAAGTTCACAGACAACGCCCCCTTGTGTCCCAAACATCCTGGAAACACAGGCGCTCCAATCCCCTCTACGGCGACCCCCTCGCGGCCACCGGGCGAAAAATTACCGGCCTTGATCACGCGAAGCACAGGGTCCCAGTCATGAAACATCTGCTGTGCGTTGAACCAAGATACTTTCGAGTTTTCAAAAAAAGTGGTCATGGCGCTTATGAGGAGGGGAAAGACGTGGAGCCAGTCTTGATTGGCGGTTTCTGGAGAAAGATGGTCGCTGTTGATTTCGAGAATGGTCAAGGCTGGATGCGGTGGTGATGGAAGGTTTAGAATCGATGCATATCTTAGTTTTCGGATGGACGCACCTGCTCTCAACGTGCGACGCGCCTCTGACGGAGCGTTGGCGAGACAGTATAACACAAACATGCATGCGATGTTGGCTTCTGTCTGGGCATCATGCGTGTCGTTTCCTGTCCAGATTGAGTTGATTTGAATATTCATTGAAGTGGACGATGCTCACCTTTCCAAAATAGAAATAACATCCACGAATACCTCTGCAAGTCTTTTTTCAACTCAATCAAGACAAGTTGTGAATTAATAGAAGCCGAAGAAGCATTGGTCGCACTATCTGAAGGGATTCCGGTTGCTGTGAACGACTATTATAAGATTTCAAGCATCTTCACAAAATGGACGAACGATTTGGGACACACCTTCACACATGAGACAATCTACCAGTCTCCTGGCAATCTTGAACGCATTCCCCATGGATTTCCTGCTTGCCACCTCAAACTCCGAATCCCTCATAGCCGACTGCAATCCCGCGTGCAAAGCAGAATAAGACTGCAGCACTTGACAGATTGCGGTCACAACGCGTTGCAAGTCCGCATACACAGCGTTGACAGCGTCCATGTTGTCCTTAACGTCCTGCGAAGAAGTAGCAGCCTGGGATTCAAGCACACGGGCGACCGATTTGGCTAGTGTGTTTGTAGACGGAAGGGACGGATTTGGGACCGAGGGTGGCGAGGCCTCCAAGAAGCGAGTCAAAGTCCAGAGTACAAAAGCGGCGAGGCGAATGGGGTTCGTTGATGCGGCCAGAAGGCGGGTTTCGGGATAAGATGCATCAAATAGTGCGTTAATCATTTTGCTAGCGGCCTCAATGTGAGGTGCGGCCGCGAGGGAACGAAGATGGTTTTCGATGGCTTCCAGTGCGGCGCGACGACAGGAATCGTGGTCCAAATCGTTGCTATCGTTTCCATTCAAGAGGTCGTTCAGATGGAATATGCGAGGTTGTCGTGGTTGGTTCACAGCTGGATCGAATGCCTTGCGTTTCGCGGCGCGTCCATCTTCTTGTTTGTCGTCGTCGTGACAGGCTCGCTTCATGGCTGCAACAAGTATAGATTGGCGGATGGGGTGCTGACGGATTGTTGAGTTTGACAGCTCTCAGGTTGTCGACAGCTGCTGGGGATGCCGGATGGAGAAGGTGTCTGTCCCACTGTGCTGTTTCTGCGTTTACGCTGGTTGAAGATGGAGGGCTGACGAGAAGTGAAAGCACAGCCGTTTGTTTGTATGTACTTTTTTTCGTAAAGGGCTTGTCCAACCACCCCCTCCCACCGAAGATGCGTCGGCGAATCGATTCCTACTCGTTGACAATGCCAACTCATTCTCTCAAAGCCTTCAGCGACACGCGAATGCTTTTTGAGAGGTGAGTAATGCAATTTCGAACCCGTTCAACACAATTGTCAGAAATGATAATGTTCTGAGCGCAACAATGAATGGAATTCCATCGTCATAGTTTGTGGTATTTAATCTCTTGTTGCGTAGCTTGCTCATTAACACTGCTTATGTTGTCGTTTCAGCCTGCAGACTGAGATGAATGGCACTTGCAGAAGAACTTGGATTCAACTAAGTTGTCGTCAAGGTGATGCTTTATTCAGACTGTACCTGGCGAGTGATCACGTGAGCGGGGATGTTGAAATGCAAGCTCCGAAATTCGAATCAAGTTGTTGGAAAAGTGAAAGCATACCGCGTATTTGCGGACGCTTGAAACAAGGATCCATGAAGAAACAAGGTCGCCTCGATGCTCCTTGCCAAGGTTCCTAATGTTCTTTGTTTTTTTCACCCCTTCAACACTATTCATCTGGCATATCCTCCTTCCCCTGATAGCACATCATGCGGGTGCAACTGACTTTCGTAAACTGGATTCATCACATTGCAGTTGCTGTACCTTTAGCAAAACCTGTATACTCGTTCAAGAATGTGGTGGGCTATTTCTCGTGTTCGTTTACTCATGCAATGGAAGGACTCAACCCTTACAGGAGCATAACACTTCTTATTCGTAGGATTCTGTAAAAAACTAGGACCAGAACCATAGTGGGCTTGCCCTTTGGAGGGACTAGCTTTATGATGATATGTGCTTGATAGTTGATACCAGTTATGAAGGAGAACCACAAATTGGAACAAGCTGACCCACCGAGTCACTTAGGATAATGGTTGAAAGAATGTTGTCATAATGAGAACAATGTTATCGTTGGCCTGACACAGAGGTGCATTTTGACGAGACAAAACCAATTTGATGCACGAGGGAGCCAATTGTGATCAACCACTGACAATAGTGGATGTGTACCAAAAGCAACACAGTCAGACCATGAGTCATAGAGGCAGTAATCTTTTAGGTGCATGATGAAGGATGGTACCCAGTGAAAAATTATTTCAATCTCCAACATCATTGCAATTAGCCAGGACCCTGCTTTGAACAAGTTAGGGACACTTTCCTTTCTGATCTTATATCCAGATTCATGTAAATTTGTAAACCATTTTTGATTTGGATCAGCACAAAACATTCCACTTCATCAAGATCCATAAACTCCTCAGACAATCCAAGGCCTAATATTACCCTGACAGAGGCTTCATTTGCCAGGATGCTGTTACATAGTAATTGCAGGATTGCAGATGTAATCTTCGCTTTTTCAGCATTTGCCAGACATCACAACCACTCTCAACTGAAAAATCTTTCACTACGACCTTCCAAACAAAAGGTTTTCCCATGCTCTCGGCCGGAGTCGAACCGGCGACCTTCGGATTATGAGACCGACGCTTTGAACCAACTAAGCCACGAAAGCACGATTCTTCTTCTTTCCGGGTTTACCCGGATAATCCCTGATAAGAATCCAGCTGCAGTTTTGTATGATTCACATATCTTACAATACTCAACTGATTTTGAAGGTTGAATGTTGCAATCATCCAGATATATCTTAACTATTTTTCCAGCCCAAAAACGCTATAAAAGAAGCAGTGTTTTTATTGAAATAAAGCATCAACTTCTGAATAACTTTCCCTCCAATTCCATATCATTTGGTAGCACCAGAGCTATGTCCTCCTCCTCAGACATCCTTATGACCTCCAGCACTACACCACTGACCAGCAGTTCCAGCAGCTCACCCAAGCCTATGCTGAAAAAGCCAGACCAACCAGTACGTCTTGACTGAGCTTGAAGCCTTATGTCACTTTCAGGCCACCATGTCTGCTTCCACTGTCCCTGCACAACCCCAGGCCCTTCAAGCTGAGGGTACTGCTATTGTAACCCATCCCCTCCTCTATTTTAGGATGCCCTCCATTAAGCCCATTGTGTTCACAGGGTCTGGCAAGAACAGACCAGCCCATGAACTCCAGATTTTCCTGGACAACTACCTCAACCACTTGCTAGAGATCTGCCACCTCTATGGCTTTGCCCCTACCATCGCTGATCATACCCACACTGGCCAACCTGCCTATGTCCAATGCATAGCTTCAGGACTCAATGACTATGCACGCATCACCTGGCACTGTCTACTAGAGTCAGAATATTCTACCAATGACCTGGGAATGCTACTCTGAATTCATTCAGCAATCCCTCAGCTCCCAGCTCACACTCACTCAGGTCATTGAGGCCATGGAGAACCTGTACCAGTCCAAGTCCACCAGTGCTTATTCAGCCCAGTTCAACAAACTCACCTCAGCCATTGCCACTTCTGATGCATCCAAAGCCACAGTGCCAACCAGTGCAGCACCAAGGCTACCCACAACTCCAAAGTCCTCAGTGCTCTGGCATGCCTTCCTTTTGCAACTCCTTTCCAGACCTCGAGGACCCAATGGACCTGTCCAATGCCCAGCAGCACCAACGCCCTTCCAGCAACCAGCACCTCACTGTGGAACAGAAGGAGCATTTTGCTCAAAAGGTTGGTGTGTATATTTCCAATCACGCAGCCTCAACACAAACCACTGCCAGAAGCTCCAAGAATGCTGCTCCCCACTCTAGGCTTCAAATGCCATTCAAGACCATGAACCACATCCAGTAACCACATCCAGTTTGTAAGTCTGAACAGCACCCCAGGGCCCTGTCTTTCTCAGAGTCCTAGCCATGTCTCAATGGCACCACTCAAACTAATTCTGAAGACAAGTCCTTTCTCAATTCCAGTTCTGCCAGTTCTGAGCAGTAAACAACTTGAACCAAACAACCTGCCTGACTTGCTGACCCTGCCTAGACTGGAACTACCTTCTGACCATATGGAACTACCTTCTATTGACCAAACCCCACTTATTTGCCACAACATGCATCACTTATCACCTTTCACCAATGCCCCAGGCCTTCTCATCTGCCAAGGATCCATTCAATGCAACACCCAGCTTCATCCACACCAAGCTCCCATTCCTGAAGGCCACGTCCTTCCAGAAGCATGACTGTAAGATATGCCTAGCAGACAAGTCCCTTGTCCAAGGGAAGTGCACCAAGCCCCTTGCCCTCTGAATCACCAGAACCTCCTTCCAAGACACCAGAGCCTTCACAGCCATCCCAGGTCTTGCCTACAACCTTATCCTCAGGAAAGACTGGCTCAATGACCAGAATCCAGTAATCAACTGGCCTTCCAACACTGCAACAATTGGTTCTCACTGCTGGACATGTATGCTGCCCCGACCTGTCCCCAATATCGTTTCAGTGACCCAGTTTGCCAACCTGCTCCACCAAAAGCCCACATCTGACACAATTGTTGGTGCCCTCATTCTCAACATTGCCAGCAAAGCCTCACCAACCTTCCAGCCCACCACTGCTTCCACCAATGACACTGATGTCGCACAATCTGAGCTGCCAGCTGACATTCATGCCATTGTTGACAAGTACCCCAACATCTTCCAGCCCTTCAAGGGCTACCTCCAGAGTGCATCACTGACATGAGCATTGATACTGTTCCCAAAGTAACTCAGAGCCTGACCTTCTGACCCATCTACCTGATGAATCAGGATGAGTTCAATGTACTGAAGGAGGAACTGACTTACCTCCTCAAGCACTCATGCATCTGTGACTCCATTTCCCCCTATGGAGCCCCTGTGTTCTTTGTCAAGCAGAAGAACAAGCTATGCCTCATTTTTGACCACTATACACTCAACAAGCTCACTGTCAAGAATTGCGCATGCCTGCCAAACATACTGGAGCCCCCAAACTGCCTGTGCCACACAAACACCTACTCCAAGTTCAATCTTGCTGTTGGTCACCACCAGCTTTGCATCTGTCATGACGACATCCACAAGACTGCTTTCTGTACCAAGTATGGACATTTTGAATGGGTTGTCATGCTTTTTTGGCCTTGCCAATGCCCCTGCTGCATTCCAAACCACCATCAATGGAATATTCTGGGAATTCATTGACAATTTCTCACCACCTATATTGACAACCTCCTCTGTTTCTCAGAGAACCTCCAAGACCATCTCTTGCACATTGATAAGATGCTTCACCATATGAGCATGAATAAACAACAAGTTTGCCTGCACAAATGTGCCTTTCAGGTAGATCTCCACTCACAAGCCACCCACTCAAAATTACAGTTGCTGACCATCTCTGCACTCAACTTTACTGAACTCAAGATCACTGATGATCTCCTCTCCGATGTCAAAGACATGTGCACTACTGACCCAGAATTCATCAAAATGACCCAGTATCTGGTGGATCCCTCCCATCCCAACACCTTC